CCCCACCTTCTGGAGCTTGCCAGAGAGCAGGGAAGAGCAGATGTGAACATACAAGCACCCTGGTGAGTGTCTGATATGATCACCGACTGGCGAGTGCTGCGAAGGAAATGCACAGGTGAGACCTGTGCAGGAACACGAGCTTCTGCAGAACCTGGGTGCTTCTCTGAGGAAGGGCTGTCTGAGCCAAGACCTGAGGGACAAGTAGGCATTAGCCAAGTGAAGGGGTGAGGGAAGGTCACCGGCCAGCATGCACGGTACATGCAAAGCCCCTGGGGGTGTGGGTGAGTGGGGAGACCAGCCGGGGGAAGCAGGGCCAGCCCCGAGACTGTGGACAGGATGGGGTGCCCAGGGAGCACTAGGATCCAAGGCAGGACACTGGGCTGGGGGTGTGGGTGACACAGTAGAATGTGCACCTTTGCAAGGGCCGCTGAAGCCACAGCACAGAGAACAGACCCCCAGGGACAAGAAGAGAATCTGGGCAGCCACCTAGAGGTGTCAGTGGGAAACGTGGGGTCAGGGAGTGGTGGAGGAGATGGCAAGACCAGGACATTTTCAAAAGCACTTTATGTCATGTGGGGAGCAGGGACATGCTGGATGACACTGGTTTCTGAGCCTGTGCAGTCAGGGGGTGGCAGGGCTGTGGGCTGAGCCTAGGAATGGGGGATCATGAACTCCACGCATGGAGGCGTTGAGCTCAAGGATCCTTGGGGACATCCAGGGGAGGTGACTCTGTGTAATTTAATTCAAGAAATAGTGGCAAAGCACAAGTGACACACAGGATTCTCAGACTGGCGGCACCCCTCTTCTAGATTGCTTTAGATGAGCAGATGGCACAGGCTTTGGGTTTCCGGAAGCTGGTTCCTACACACGGTGGCAGTGCCTGCTCTTTCCTTTGTTACTTGCTGCCAGACTTTGTGGCTACAACTTAGGAGAGGAAGAAAGCAGCTGTGGGGATCAGGTCAAGCTCCAGATGGCCAGGCAGGTAGTGAGACGCACCCACATCCGGCGGACTGGGCACCACATGCACGGAACAGGCTGTATTCAGCAGGAGGGAACTCTCAGTCCTCATCCTCCCTCATCCCACAGGTGTGCTGGGTGCAGGTGAGTCTCTAAAGACAGGGTGCGTCTACATTCTAACCAAGGGGTATCTTCTCCTGGGGCTCTCCTTCTTTATGGAACACATGTGAGAAGACAAACCTGTCCATGGAGAAAGGGCAGGAGCTTGGTTCCAAGGCAGTCTGGATTTGGAGGGCCATGTTTTCAGGAGACCAGGAACACCAGCAGCCTGTGCCTGGGGAGGGGACGCCCTCAGCTCCATGGGCAGCCAGGCTTGGGTGGGAGGGGTGGCCCCAGCCGGGTCTTGGTCCAGGCAACCCAGGGCCGCTTCAGGATGGTTCTGTGATGGCTCCATCATGCAAGTGAGACCCTTCATCCCTGTCCTTTCCTTTGATGTTGATGCACCTGAGCTGGACGCAAAAACTGAAGAGAGGAGGAGCCAGAGCCTGGCACCTCCCCTTCCATGGGAACTTGTCTCTTAAGGTGTGCGAGAAGCCGGTGTGTGGATTGTGGCCTTGTCAGTTTTTCATCACATTGCATGGCTGTTAGCAGGGCACATCGCTACCTGCAATTTGTTTCCCAAAAGACACACAGGGGCAGATGAACCAAAGGTGTACCTTCACAACCATTGCCAGCACGTCTCCCTTGGGGTGCTCTTGAAAGGTCGCCTTTGTGTGCAGAGAGACCAGTATAAGACTGGCACATGCAAGGAAGTGCTCATGATTTGTAAAATGTTAAATGAATGAACCCTATTTCTGGCAGGAGAATCAGTTGCTACCAGGTTCTACCTAAAATACGACTAAAATATCTAAGACATGGTTCTCATTGCTCAAATCCTTCGGAAACTGGATACGTAAGGTGTTAACATAACTTTAAGAGGACCTCTCCTAACAAACTAGAACACAGCATTTAACATTTGATCAATAAGGTGAAGGATTATTCCAGACCAGCTACCCAAAGAAATGCCTCACCTCGGACTCCCCCCATCTGGCTATTGATGTTTTTCTGTGCCTGTTCTCTCTTGATCTAAGCTTTACAAAAAATGCCACATGCACTTTCTTTGTTGCCTTTTTTTGCAACTCCTGTGGAAGCTTCTTCGGACACCTCAATATCTTAGGGAACATTTCAAATAGCACAAACATTTAGTGGTCTGGGGCTGGAGAGAGATCAAGATGCTGCGACAGCAGGCAGGACAAGCGCTCTCCAGCTGCACCAAGTGCGCCGGCACCATGTCACAGGCAGTTTGAGAAGGCCAGTGACTGAAAAACACTGGTCACAGTGCTTTTTATTAATCATTTGTACAAACTGATACGACATGAGACACACTCAACAGTCTTAACGCCTTTAAAGATCCAATGGGAAAGTCAAAGATACCGCTTACAGGTGAGAAGCCATAAGCCTGCTGCTCTGACACCGTGAGTGGGAAAACCATGAGGTGTGTGAAATCTGTTTTCCGTGCCTGGAATTCTGCAGAGCAGCTTCACGGTGGACACAGGAACGTTTTCCTGAGAGAATGTTATCACATGCGAGAGCCGTCCTGGAGGCCCAGGTCCCTTCTCCCCACAGGACTCGCAACCACAGTGAGCGGCTGTCCCTGTGGCCCGTCAGCATGATCCCCACCATCATATGGCACATAACTTATACAGCCTCAGGAATTCACAGGTTGAAAATAAATTCTCACGATTTATTAATTTATAACAACTGAGATGGATTCAGAGTTTGGTGGCCACAATGGCTTGATCTGATTTTTCTTCCTTTATGGGTACATCTGTGCACCTTGGATCAGTTAAAAAAATTAAATACTTTTCATCAATAAACAATGATATATACACAGAACAATGTACAGTCAATGACTCTTTTGGCTGAGTAGTACTTTTTTGTTTTTTTTGCTATCCATTTTGTTTTTACAAACAAACCTACTTTGCCTCAAACAGCGACCGCAGTAAGACCACATATGTCTACAGAAAACTACAGAATAAGTTTGATTTTTATTTAGAGTTCTCACTTATAACAAGAAGTATGATGTATCTGTGGCCACACAACCTAAATCAGGTTCTTTAAAAATGTGTGATGCAATCTTACTCTAGGCACTAAAACGACGTCTTTAAAAAAATAAAATAGTGATTTTAAAGGCCTTTATTTTATAGGGAAGAGTAATAAAAGATAAATGCTAGTGGATGTTTAATCATGAACCCAGGGCCTGTTTGGATTCTGTACTAGGTCACTCACCCTTTAAATTCTGCAAGTACAAAAAAAAAATTTATTGGTTTTTAAAAAAATATCTCAGGAACTCTAGATCTCCTGCTGACTCTGAGGATGTCTGGACCACTTATATTCATAGAATGGAGACAATATTTTAGAAAACATCTCTCTCCTGGCACAAGTTCATCTGAAGAAGCTATTATGTATAAAGCAATTATATACATAAATAACATAAAATAATTATCATAAATTAAAAAGTCAAATGATCTCCCACCCTTAATCCAGCCTAGAGGAGAGAGCTGGGAGCATCTGAAAGTGGGAGTGTGTGGGGGACACGGGCTCTGTAGACCTGCCCTGTGCTGCGTGGGCGAATTTTCCTTAGGTCGTGACGCACGTACTGCAGAGACAGATTCTAGCCCTGTCTTCAGAAGTCTGCTATGTGGAATGAAGTCATGTGCTGAGGAAGTTGCCTTTTGTGTGACACAGGACATCCTTTGCCTTACAGGCAACGCTAGGATTCTCTGGCCTCATTATTTTCTGACTGACCTGCTGTCAGTGTTTCTCCCAGGTAACAGAAGATCTGGGACAAAGAGGAATCGAGGACAAAATAAGGCCAGTTTATCATTTTGTGTTGGACAGTGTTAAAAAAAATACCAGGAAGGTAAAACTCAAACTGCTTTCCCACACCTCTCTGTGTCTCCTGAGCAGCAGGAGGGGGACCCAGCTGTGGCCAAGGCCACCCGTGAGCCTGACCCATCGTCTCTATCTCTGGCATGCATGTATGACAGTGCATGTCGCTGCCTGACAGAGCTGTTAATCAGCACATTCGGTTATTAGTGCATTTCGTGCTTCTACTGTTGAAGTAACCTCTTGTGCTTTTACTACTCCCCGGTAGGACATAGCATTTTCTCCGTATTTCACAAATACCTATACTTTCCCACGGCAAAGCCAAATTCATCAACACTGTTATAGGAAATTGGTCTTGAAAACACATTCACCTCTAGAATTAAAGTTTAAACAGAAAGAAAACATAAATTTCTTCCCTGTTTTTCTGTTCAGAGGATTTTAGCTAAGCTTCAGCTCTAATAAATACTTGTGGATGGCAGAGAACCCTGAGACGACCATGTAGGAGCCGCCAGAAGTGATGGAGCGAGGGTGTGCCCTGCGCACCTGCCTGCCCCTCTGTGTTCACGACACCGTGCAGAAATGGACATGGACTGAGAGCCCTACAGTGCAAACGACTACCGTGTTAAAATAAAATACAAATAACGATATTGGCCACAGCAGAGTCTCAGATACATAATGTGTGTTAAAAAAAAAAATGAAAAAAACATACTGAAAATCAACTCATGGGCATTATTACTAAGATACCTTTTACACCCGAGTCAGAGACCTCACACGACCCCTCCGCACAGTAAGCCTGAAGGTTGGAGGGTCCCGGGCTGCCACAGCACGTGTCACACATGGTTTCAGTTCACAGCTGTACAACGAAATTGACTCAACTCAAATTTCAAAGAGAATCAACGTGACTGTACTTCTGTCCGCTCGCCTGCTGAAAAATTGTGTCTCCTTGCTGCATGTTGCCCCCTGTGAAAACTGTTTTAATATAAAAAGTGAGCTCTAAAAGAATAAAGGAAACTGACCATTTATGTTTCTAATAACACATTACTTGCCTCTTATGATCCTGCTTCTCCCTAAGTGTCACTTTCCCAAATCCGTGTCAATCACACAGACAGTTCTGCAAGGGCAGGTGGGGTGTGGCCCTGGCCTAGGAGCACTACCTGGTAAGGCATAGCGTGGAACCTGGTCAGGTTTTAAAGTCTCGCCTGCCACGGGTCACTTCTCGAGTTAAGCTGACAGACCTCATGGTTTGTTGGGAGGATTTGGAGATAATTCTGCAAAAGCTAAGTCAACCTTACTTAGATTGCAACATATGATTTTTTTTCTGTTTGGTATCCAGCAAACAAATCTCAGAAAATGCAAGCCCTCTCCGTGGTCCTAGCCCTGCGTTTTCTGCAGCACGGTTCAGTAGCTGTACATCTGCTGCTGCTGTTCGGTTGGCACCTGAGGCTGTGCTTGCTGCGGCTGGGGGGCCTGTGGCTGTGAGGATGGCAGGACATCAGTCTGGGGCACCGCCCGCCATGTGAGAGGGTGCTGCTCACTGAGCTGGTTCCCCAGGGGTGTGATGGAGTTGACCAGAGTGGTCAGGTTGATGAAGTGGGCCACAGACTGCGGGTTCGAGGCTTCCGGCTGGGGGTGGAGCTGGACGTCATTTTGGCGGTTGTGCAACATGGCAGAGCCACTGACAGTATCAAAGGTCACGGTCAGGATTGAGTTGTCCAGCTGTAACTGGCGTTCGGGGGTGGTAAGGTGTCCCACGGCCACCGGCTGGAGATTGGTAAACTGAGTCCCAGCTGCAGTGGTGATGGGGGTCACGGTGATGTTGGTCAAGCCGACTGAGCTTGATGGAGCAGTCACATTTGGGTCACCCAGTGTCACCACCACCTGGAAGTCACACACAACAAAAAACAGTCAATCATTTCTGCAAAATGGAGAACAAGATAAACCCCATGGTGCACTCTGTGTTGTAGGCCATATTATGCCGCAGCAATAAAACACCTAAGCTAGAGGAAAAGAAGTAAAACATCCTTTGGCAAAAGAGTAAAAAGTTAATTTTGTCCTGGAAAAGTAATTCCAGTGAAAAAGAGACACAGACATAATCATTGAGGCAGTGAGAGAGAACTGAGAAAAAAGGAATTTCACTGGCTAGAGAAAAATAGAGAAAAGTAAGCATGAAAAAGACAACGCAGAGTCGTCATGTTCTGTTTAGGCCTCTAAACTGCCTTTCGTTGGTAAACAAAAATCTCAACTATAAAGCTAAAAAGTGCAATAAAGATATTTGCAGCACTAACAGCTAATAGAAAAGAAAGCAGCATTCTTTCTCATGGAGAGTGATAAAAGGCAAAATAAATGCAAGACTTTTCTGCAATCAGGATTGACGTCTCCAAAAACTAGAGAGAAGTGTGCAGTATCAGACACAGACTGATTAAATATCTGGGGCCTCAAAAGCAGAAGTGATGATGGCCGTGCAAAAGAGAGGGTTCCACTAAAGGAAGCAAAACTGGCTGGTCCAGCCCACACCCGCCTACCCCCTCCAACTCTCTCTGGAGGGCTTCTTTGTTCTGTGGGGTCCAGCTCTCCCTGCCTGGTCAGCAAATGCACAGGGCTGCACTTTTGGAACACAGTGAACCAGGCCCTCTGTCCTCTCCACAAACAAAACAACCCTCCTCATCCCCAACTGCAGAGGGATGTCTGTCTCTAACATGCTAGCATGTTGTGTTGCTACTAACAACAAGCATGATATGTAGGTGAGAACTTGGAAGCGCTTAGCTGAAACGATGCTTAGGTGAAAAGTGGGATGCACGCTGACTGCAGCCATGTAAAGGCCACCTTGCTCACGGTGCATACTAAAAAGGGGCTGGAGTCACACATGCGCAGGACTCACAGGCTTAGGGAAAGTGTCTCTTGTAAACTCGACTGGGCACCTGACTTGCACATAAAGAAATAAACAACCTGCTGAATGCTCTGCACCGCGGAATTGGTCTCATCACCCACGCTGCCAGTGAACTCGGTCTCCTTCTCAGAGTACTCGCTGAAGGCAGCATCCTCAGGCACCGGAGCCCCTGCCTCTTCTTCTGGCTTCTGCTTTCTCTTGTGACTGCGCTTGGCAGCTTTCACGTGCTTCCCTTCGGCCAAATCTTCCTGTTCCAGAGTCAGCTCGGGCTGCAGGAAAATCAGTTTCAGTAACCAACCAGATCAATAGGTCACATACATGAGGTGGCCAGAGCCCCAGCACTGCCCCTGGACACGCTCTCAAGTCAGAGGCGAGGCTCTTGGGGCACTGAGCTGCCGTGGGAAATAGAGTGACCCCAGCTGTCTGCTTACTTGCATTTCTAAGGGTTGAGGCAAGTTCCTTTAGTTTTTTTAAAAAATTAAATAAGTCATATTTTCTAAAGCCACATTTTGTGCCAAAATGTAAACATCTTTAATACCTAATTTTTTTAAGCCACTGGTAAAGGAAAATGTTTCAGCCCTGGTGAGCTCATACCAAGACTGAATGTTTTTTTTTTTTTTAAAAAAGATGACCGGTAAGGGGATCTTAACCCTTGACTTGGTGTTGTCAGCACCACGCTCACCCAGTGAGCAAACTGGCCATCCCTATATGGGATCCGAACCCATGGCCTTGGTGTTATCAGCACCACACTCTCCCGAGTGAGCCACAGGCCGGCCCCTGAATGATTTCTAATCAGGGCTCTCTCCCCCAGAATGAAACAGAAGCATTGCAGAAATCAGTTTTGCATTTAAATGGGTATGACCACAAAACTGTATGAACATCTCCTTTTGGGACAGCAAAGAGGGGCCCTGCTGTAATGATGATCCCAGATGGGTCCCTCCTCCCCGCACGCTTCTCTGCAAGTGCCCAGGGCACTGCCAGGCTGTGGCCAGGTCTTCTGAACTGGGTCAGCTCCATGGCTGGGCTCACAAGGCCGTGGGGCAGTGGCGGCTGGCAGGGTGCTCCACTCTGGCCACCTGTTGCTCCTTGTGCTTGCTGTGCTGTGCCATGCCCAAGACGCGTTGGGGCAGAAATGGCTCGTGGGTTTCTGGAGCTGGGGATGGACTTCTGCACATCTGTGCAGTGTGACCCAACCACCTCAGTTAACACTGCACTCGAAAGCACCAGTTCAAAACACATGGGTATAACTGTGATCTCAAATAACTGAGAGTACAACAACTCTTCATAATAAAAATCTGTATAAAGGTATTAACAAAAATTGCTTTTAAAGAGTTAATCTAATACACTTATTTTGCTTAGAACAATTTAATTATGTTAAACTTTTCTAGAAACCATCTATTGTCCAAAGTGAGATACAGCAGTATTCCAAAAACCTAAGTTGCAGAAATTTACAGAAAGTAGGAGATATTCTAAAAGGCTCTGGGGGGGGAGAAGACCACCAGAAAACAGACGGTGATATTAGACCAAGAAACGAGAGGCGCAGGCTGCCTGGTTTATGCAAAGACTGCTCCCCTACAGCCGGCCTGGGACCTTAGGGCCCACTCAGCAGGTTCTGGCTTATCTGGAAGTTTCCCACGCCTGGCAGGTACGCTCTGTGCTGCTCACCTGGACGATGCCGATAGAGGAGGCGTCAATGGTGGTGGTCTCTGGGAGGTGGTCCAGGTCATCAATCCTCACTGCAAGCACCTGTGAGGAGCATGGGGCAGTGAACTGGGGATGCCATGGCCACCCGTGATGCAGGTGGGGACCCAGACATGCTGAGAGACAGGTCACCTGCTGCAAAGGCTTGGCTGTCACCTGACTCTTGGCATCCCGTGTTTACGTGTTTCTGACTCTCCTCTGCTCACGATTAGCTCTGACACTTCGTTTCCAGAATCCTGCTCAGGTGCACCTCTCCTGGTCCCTGACCTCTTATTCGTGTTTCTGTAATGCTAGATGTACTTGTTCCTATGATTGTTTAATTTAATTAAATCATAAGTAAGACGATGGAACGCAAGTGCAGAGAGAGAATAGAACACGCCAGGAAGGCATAGTAGAGGGAAGTTGCTGTTAAAGGTAATGAGCTGTGGATAAACTATACAAGGCTGGGGAAAACTACAATAGTCTGTCTGTAAGGGTTCTTCACTCGAACAGCTCTGCAAGCATCTTTAAGTTTTTACTCAACTAAAGAAAATAAAAATGGAAAGTTATTATAGACTGTACATCATGAGTGTGGCTTAGTAAAGAAAGATATAGGAAACTGCATCTTTGGACTTACATCCAAAGACTAGGTCTGGGCCTTTCTTTGAAAAAATGGCAGACAAAGGATGTATGTTTTAAGTTAACATAAACACTGATGGCAGCTTTGAAGAACCAAGTGTAACTCTCTCCCATTGACACTGAGCACAGACCTATACTGTGATGCTCACAAAAGCAGCCAGACTACTGCAAATGCACTCTCTACCACTGTCACCACCATCACCGTCTCCACCACCTCCATCACCACAGTCACCCCCACCTCTACCATTTCCACCTCCATCCTGTCATCTCCACCATCATCACCACCATCATTGTTGCCATCATCACCATCGGTCACCACCACCTCTACCATCTCTAC